TAAAAATGTGTAATGAATAGATCTACCAAATCTAACGTCCGTCGATTCTATATTGGTCTTTTTATAACCCTTATTCAGTGACCATGGATAATAGTTCTCAATACTGAACAACAATAGTCATTAGATAATTCAAATCTACAATCTGTTAAGCTATCTAAATAATACATGTTTGTTCAATCGAAAATAGTCTCGAGTATTGTTTGCTTGACTTGATTTGATTCATGGACATTTTGCCCATTTTATCCAGCATAGTTACACTCAAGATTTCGTCGTTTTTCATCCATCCTAAATAGTTTGAAACGAAAAGAAAAAAGTGATTGTGTATTGCATTACAAATGTATATGCATGCATATATGCCTATTTTATTGGCATTGATTTCTATTAAGTAATATTAGGTTTTCGTTTTTATCTTGAATACTTTCTTATTACCTCTATTTTCTAGATTATTGATTATTAATACAATTCAATACTTTGATCTATTCTCCAATAAGTATATTATTAAGTAACAAATCTATTTTATCATGTTATTCATTTCATCTTTATATTCGTGTGTTTTTAGTAACCCAACGGTTACTAGTATTAATATAGGTTGGTCGTTTGGATTTATATTATATTAATATAATAATTGTATATTCCGTGATAATTGCCTACATCAACAATGAATGTGTAGATTGATATTAAGTAGGACCAGATGAGATAAAGCACATGCAAATATCAATTTTACTATGTTATTTAATGAAATTGCTTGAATTGTTAGGAATTTACAGTCATTAGTACTTTTGTCACATAGAAGCATCATAAATGTAATATGGATACTATTTATTATTAAGCGATACGTTACACACACATCATATTTATAAATCTACGTTATGTTGTGTAGTACAGTCGAACATTAAGTACAAGTCCCAAATCATTAATAAATTGTTTCAATATTTATATACATAGAAGAATATATCATTATTGAGTTTGGGAAATATGGAAGTTATGGACAAACTGTGAAAATCAGTATTTTTTGCATCATGGTCAACAATTTTGATTGTATTCATATCCATAAGCCATAATAATATAGATTCTTCAAAACAAGCCAGAGAATCAAGGTTTTTTCTCAATGACTACATTACCATGGAAAAGAAGATAATTTCCATCAAGGGAGTACAATATGAAGTCACTCTATTTCAAGGAGATCATTCTAATGAGTATTTGTTGAGTGAAATGAAAGAGGGTAAAGTAGAAGGTCGTTGCCAATTGTTCAATCGTGGAATCTTGAGTCTTGCATGGATGATGAAAAATGGTAAACGAATCGGTGGAGTGACAGAATATAGGAATGGTAAAGCATTACGAAAAGAAAACTGGGATTCAATCGTTGGAAATGATGGAGATCGAAGAAGAATCGAAAATGGTAAAAAAGGATTGATAATGACAATTCGATGTAAGCGTAAAGGTGAAAATGGTGAAGAGAATGATGATAATGATGGTAATGATGATATTGTGATCTATCGAGGTGGATTTGATGAAGAAATGAATCGAGATGGTTATGGAATCGAATATGATAGAAATGATGGTAAAGAGAAAGTTGAAGGATATTGGTCAAAAGACAAATTGATTCGAATGATTCGTGAATTTGATGCTGATAATAACCAAATGATCGAATATGCTGAAAACGATGATGTAAATAGTAATGTGGGAATCTTGAATCGAATTCCAGTATATATAGGAGGATATAGTATTGAAAATGGTAAATTTGTACGAAATGGATTGGGATATTTGATTGATGAATGCAGTGGAACAGCAATTCGTGAAAGTGAATGGGAACATGGAAAAGAGAAGAAGGGTGGAATTGATTTGTATGAAGGTTGGTATGTGAAAGGAATGAATGAAAGTATTCGAAGTGTATTGAAGAATGAAAAACCATGTGAAATGAAAACTGAACCAATTGTAAGTGTTCCTGCCAAACGAATTGAAGTGAACAATAGTTCTGAATTGAATGAAATGGATTTGCAAGTAACAGAATTGGTGATATGTTCGAATAGTTGTAATGAATTGAATGCATTGAAAATGAACAAATTCGAATGGTTGGAATCAATCGAAATCGGCGATGATTGTTTTGGCTCAGTGCAAACATTGAAAATCAATGGATTGAATCGACTGAAAAGTTTGAAAATCGGTAAGAATTCATTTACTCAAGCCAAAAATTACCACAGAGAGAATAAATCGAAATCATTCCACATATTGAATTGTGAATCATTGAAATCGATTGAAGTTGGTGCATACAGTTTCAGTGATTTTGCTGGCGACTTTGAATTGAAGAATCTACCACAATTACAGTATATCGTCATAGGTGTTAATGAGTACGATTCTTACAATTTCTATTGGAGTTCATTTGTGCTTCGAGGTATTGATATGATGTGTAACCAAAAATTAATAGATCTTCCAAATCTCCAATCCATTACATTAGGTAGCACTGCCTTTTGTTCATCTATAACAACAATAATTGAAAGTATTGAATAAGTTCTAGTAAAATGATTGGTTAGATCTTCCATCATTGCAATATATTAACTTAGCTTATGGAGTGTTCTATGGTAAGTATGATGATGAATCATGTTCCTTGACAATGCGAAGTAAAACTCAAATGATTGGAAATGAGTCACTGTAGATCTCCCAAATCTAACATCCATTATCAATTCTGCAGGAGGTTACAATTTTAATAATCCTTATGTAGTGACATTGCAAAGTAATACTAAATACTAAATATGGATAGAATTAAGATATTCCAAAACTCCAAGTTGTCAAGTTACCTTCTAGAGATGGACATAATTCGTTCGAGAAAGTTCGATGGAAGTCAGTTACGAGTAATAATTGTGTGATTGATTCGATGTGATTCATAGATGTTTCTTCGATTCTCGCTGATCTTGTCAAAATCATTCAATGATTCCAGCATTGAATTCACCACTTTATTCCATTCTATATTGTTCATTATTATGGTATTATCAATACTTGTTCTCTTTGATTTTTTCCAAACCCTTTACCATCAGTCTTTAATCATGTTTTGACTTAGGTTCCGATCATAATTAAATCCCTTCCATAATTTCCATATAGCTCTGATTGGCTTTGCTAGTATGTTTCCTATTTGTGTAGTCAATGCTAGAACTGAATGATAGTATTCACGAACAAGAAGAGTATTAAAAGGAGACGATTGAGTATGTAGCAATTCTTTATCAAAAATGCGTTTTACTTAGCATATCAATAGGGTGTAAAAAAACTAAATTGGACTTTCAAACGAATGATCTGAATTGTACTGGTTAGTTTCATGAATAGTTGTTTTTAGCAAGCACTGAGAGATTAGTTATGTATGTAAATAGTAACGATTGATTCAATATTCTTGATTGTATCATTATCATTATCAATATATACTGTTCAGTAGAATAGTATGTAATCAATTGAAATCGTTAGTGGGTAAGAAATCCACTTCTGACAAAGTGTAAGGCATGAAAGATGGTATTCAGTATCGATTAGGCAAGGGATGTATTCTCATTATTAGATATTCACTATTATACTCTAATTGTAGCAAAATGGAATGGATTGTTGTTTGTTGTTTGATGTTTCATTTCTACCCTATTATAAATACAAGCCAAGATATCAGTATTCTTTAGTTTCATGCATTTGAACACATGCAGCTCGCTTATTGTTTTGTATGCACACTCAATTCTCATTCCTACTATATCTACCTTTATTAAAAAGTAACCATATTCACAAATCTTCTGTTCAATCAACTAGATATTCCAATGCTTTGCTTCTTTTTTCACTATTTTCTTTTTCTCACACATATCACTCCAAATAGGCTACCTTTTTGCGCCGGTACCATTCTTATTGCTGTTCTCTCTATCTCTATCAATGACGATTCTCTCTGAGCCATAATCCTTCAGGACAATAATCCACACTCCCTACAATTTGTCTTTCCCATTGGGTTATCTCGATGTGTTTTAGATACTCCACATAGTTCATTCTCCATTGTTTTTGTAGGATAAAAACGAATTACACACAGAATAATCTTGGTAAAGCTCTTTCGTCATTTAGAATTATTTACTGTACTATTCTCTTTAGATTTTTAAATACTATTCTTCATGAAAAAGAATACTCAAGAATCATCCAAAGGTATCGTTATTCTTTATCCTTTTGTTGTAGAAGCTGATGGAGAAGATTTATATGTGTGTAGCGAATCATCGAGTGTTTCTGAAGAGGAGTTACCCGCTCTTGAGAGGAAACCTCTATTGATTGATAAAAATCGTTTCTTCTATATATGCTATAATAAAATATAGAGCCACAAACCTTAATCATGAAAGGAGTTTACGAACGATCAAGTCGGAGTTGCACATGGATTGGAATTGTTTTGGAATGATTATTCTTTAAAGTATAGTGGGGTATGGGTTGTGATGGTTCAATCTTGGGTTCTACCTGTGATTTTCAATATTCCCTAAAGCTTTCAAAGCAAGAAGATAGCACCGAACCCGTTTCGGGTTTGTATTCTGGGTACTTCGTGGTAAAGACGGATATTCAAAAACGTGTATATGAACGGAACTTAACTCTGAACTTTGTAAAAGAAGATAATGTTTACAACGTCTCTGGAAAGGGAACCAACGAATTTGGGGATTTTTTACTTTTCGGCGTGTATTCTCCATCTTCGAAAGACCTTACCTGCACCAAAGAGTAATTTATCTCCCTTTTAACAACATGAGATATTCATCCCAACCATCGTCCACCCGTAAGCGTTCTTCCAAACCGAAGCTCCCCAAAGAATCCAAAACCCCCAAAATCAAAACGGAATCCAAACCCAAATCCCCCGACTATCACTTTTGTAGCACCCTTCTCTCTCGTCTCATGGTATCCTTTCTTCTCTTTTCCTTTTTCTTCCTCAGAGCCACGACGACGCGGACGCCTTTTTAGAGCCCGTCGATCCCGCCGCGCTGGGCATTCCCGACTATTTCGACGTGATTAAACACCCCATGGACTTCTCCACCATCCAACACAAGCTCCAAACCGGCGAAATCCAGACCCGCGCAGACTTCTTCCAGCTCGTCCGCCTCGTTTTCGACAACGCGCTGCTCTACAACCAGCCGGGCGATCCGGTGTAGCCTCCTTTTGCTCGCAGCACATTTGTAGAAGCCTCCAGGCCCAGCGATTGCGGCAGTTTTTCGAGAAAGAAGCCGAGCAGCTCAGCGCGGCCGCCGCGGAGAAGCATCATACAGCACGTCGTCGCGCCGTGGCGATGCGGTGTAGCGCGTTTGCAGCGATGCAGAGCGCGTTTTCGGAGAGCAAAGCGGAGGATTGGGTGGTGCAGAGCTTTTTGGAGGAGCGAAAGAAGAACGTTTTCGACGCATTGAAGCGCCAATTCTCCGCGTTTTCTGCCGATTTCGAGACACAAACAACAACACAAACAACAACACAATCCTCACAATCCTCACAACTCACACAATCTACACTGGCTTCACAGGCTGTGAAGCCAGTGAAGCCTCGCGAGCTCTCGGAGAGCGAGATTTGCGCGCTGAAAGCGCAGCTGGAGGCGCTGCGCGGCGCGGAATTGCGAAGAGTTCTGCAGGTTCTTGCGGCGTGTGGAGTGGAGAGGAGCGATGGGAAGTTTCCGGTGGAGGTGCAGCTGCAGAAATTGCCGGTGGAGACGTTGAGGAGAGTGATGTTTGAGATGCAGAAGATGCAGGAGGAGGATTATGTTGCTTGTGCGGCATGTGGGTGGAATTGAATGTAGGGACCGAAAGAGAGGAAACGAGGAAGAGAAAAGCGCTGATGGAGAAGCAAAATTCGAGCAAAAAAAGCGATAGCAGTGAAGAATAGTGTTTTTGTTAAATCATTCTTATTCTTTTTTGTTTCATACTTTCTCTTGAAGAAGCTTGACTATCACAAGGTGTTTTCTAACACGAAAATTGGGAATACTGAATGTCTCACGATCTAGACGTATTTGATTTCAAACGTCGATATTCTGTAGGAAAATAAGTTCAGCAATCAAGAATCTTGCGACATCCGTATTCCGAGAGCACATTGTGTTACCTTCTAGAAGATGATACTATTGACCAAACACTCATTCAGCCATTGAATATTGCGTGTAATACTCCTGAGAATGGGACAATGGAGTACTTCCTCCCCTCCTCAATCCCCACTCTCTCGGAAGCTGAGATAGAGAGCTGGAATACCTTTATGTACTTGTTGTTACATGCATTTACCGCAAGAATTGATTCTCACCGAAAAGTGGAGGAAGAATGGAGTATGTGTAAAAATATTATTGGAAACGTGGTACGTAATCCATTCCCATTGCTCTTGTAGATGGTGAAGGAATTGAAGGCGTACAAGGGTCGAGAGCAGCAGAAGAAAGGGACCGTCATGGGGAACACGCAGAAATTCGTTTTTGGAGAAACATTACCGCGAGGGCACGGACATCGAGGTCGTATTTCCGGTCTTGCGCGTTTCCCTGCCGATTCCGTCATTTCCTAGATGTCCTCCCTCTACGATGAGATTACGCGCCGTCTCCCGCGAAAGCGTCGCACTCCCGCCCCTACCTATCGTTCCCTTTCCTTTCTCTCCTTTTTACTCTGTAGAAACGCTAGCGAAAATCCAGCGATGCCTGGTTCCGCACTCCTTCAACGTTCCTCTTCCTTCTCCCTGAATGACTCCCAGGTCTCCGTGATCGGCGAATCATCCCTCGCCTGCGTGCTCTCCCAGCGTCTCTCTTCGTGCAACTACCGCGTCCTCGTGTCCAGCGAGCTCGTCCACAAGTCCTTCTTCAAGCCGCAAGGCGGACTGCTCCACGACCGCGCGCCCGATTTCATCGCTTCTCTCTCCGATCTTTGCAAAGCCAGCGACGTGCTCATCATCGCGGTTCCACGTTTCCACCTTTCGTCACGCGTAGCTCGGGTCGCTCGCGGCCTCCGAGGCCTTCTACGCCGACGTTTCCACGTTTTTCGACGCGCTGACGCCGTCCAAAACCGTTTTTGACATGTCTCTCGACGACTACCGAATCTCCTCCCACGTGCACCTAGTTTCCCCGTTTCCCCTTTTTAACGCGCAGGAAGCGCAGAAGCGGAACCTGCACTTCTTCGACTGCCCGATGTTCCCGGAGCCGTCGAGTTTGCTGTCCTACGAGACCTCGCCGCCGTCGCTTTTTTTGGGAGGGAAGGATCTGCCGGAAAGCTACGCGTTCAACGTGCTTTATTCGCTCGGAATCACGATCTACCCGAGCGGCCCGAACTACGGAATCATTCATCGCGCGCTGGTGGCGGTGAGAATGGAGGGCGAGGGTGAGGAGTAGCATTATTATCTGCTGCAGACGCAGGTGATGAGCGAGATGAATTTGGCCGCGCAGTCGCTGGGCGTGTCTGCGGAGAAAACGCTGGTGGGGATGATCCAGATGTTGGGGCAGCCGCTGGCGATTCTGCAGCGCAATAATCTGATGGAAGGACGGGGTAGGAGTGTGGAGACGGGGTGATGGAAGAGGGGAAGGAGAAGGTGGCGATGAAGATCGCGATTGAGCCGATCGTGCAGAGATTGAAGCGGTTGTTGTAGGAATGCGGTTCGGAGTGGACGGTAGTTTGATTCCGCTGCCGCAGCTGCAGTTTACGTCGTTGATCACGCAGGTGGTCGATGATGTGTTGCAGAGGAGAAGGCAGACGCAGACGGAGCCTGTCGATGAGGCCGATGTGTCGGTGATTTGGAACAAGGTGAAAAATGATAAGGAAAATACGTATGGGGGCTCTTTTGGTGAAAATCAAAAGTAATTGTAATTGTTGTTTGTGGGAAATTCAAATTGTGCTATTTTTGTGTCCTTTCTTCGGTTTGGAACGAATGTCAATAGTATAAAGTCGAATCCATAACAATGTATAATAATAAAAATAGTTGTATTATTATTATTATTTTTCTTATTATTGTTCCGCTATAAAATGATTGGATGCTCCGATTCAACTAAACTTGTTCATCCAATAAGTTTATTGGATTTAAAATCATATGAGAAAGAATCTTCGGTCTTTTTGAGTGATTCCTCACTTTTTCCATGTCGCTGCTCAATTTTGCAAAAAACTCCTTCTTTGATGAGGATGACTATTCTCTGCATGCTGTGGCAACTGCCAAGATTGCTCAGTAAAATTGTTATTATTCATCATGATTGGTAGGCAGCGCAAGGGAGATGATCAGTTTTCTGTTGATTTGGATATGATTGAAGTACATTTTTGATAGACTTCTCCATGTAGACTCCCGATTATTATGTCATTATAGCAGATATTCCGGGAGTGTCAAAAGAGAGATGCCGTGTGAATGTCTGTGATGACTACGTGCTCATTGAAGGGAAAAGAAAACGAAAAGTGATTACAAACGACGACACCTATCTTATTGCCGAGAGAAGAAACGGAGAATTCAAAAAGAGCATTCAATTACCGATTGATTCGGATCCTCAGCTGATGACTGCTAAAATCGAGGATGGACTCCTCGTATTGACAATCCCTAGAACAAAGAATTCCAATGGAATCAAGTCTGTTAGTATAGAATAGTTGGTTTTGTCTTGTTTTCGCAAAACTCCAATTTTCGGAACGATTTTCCTTACAAACGCCAAATTGCCAATTTCCCAAATGTTGAGCCGAGCACTGGCATTTCGGACCACGTTCCGTGGTATTTACGGAATGGGAGCGAATCTCCAGGTTTTTTCTCGAACCAAATCCACAGTGAGTGTAAATTGTGTCTTATCTCACTGTAGACAACAAAGAAACAGCGGAGGTACACGAAAACGGGGGATGTTCACACCATCAAAGTGATTGACGAGATTTCGTTAGACGAATTTCTGCACCCAACGAAGAAGTCGATGGGAAGCATAATGAAGCAAAAGTATATGAATTGGAACTCCGAGTTTAATATCAAACGCAAGGTTTGGCTTTGTTGCGTTAATCAACGTGTAGATGAAAGGATACAAGCCTGAAGAAGTCAATGCCGAAATCCCTAAACTGTTCGAGCAGCTTCATCAGTTTTTTGCCCACGATCAAATTTCCTATGCGTCCAAAGTGATTATTCCGCCATTAATGAAGGAACTCAAAGAGATTCGTCCCGCCTCCTATACCTCCAGACAGCTCGAGCCCTTCCACAAGGATCTGGTCTGCGTGGGTTATTCACTTTCTTATTTGGACGCGGTTCCACAGCTTCTGCAGACGCGTGTGCTCCAAGGAAAGGATGTGATGTACGCGCAACTCACTGTCGGAGTGAAGGCTGTGGAGGTTTGCTGCTATGGATGCGTTTGTGAAAATTAGGACATTTACGGCTGGACATCGCGAGGCAAGCGAGTACCATTGCTCCAAGAGTTCCCAAAAGTAGTGGTTTCGTGTTAGAAATGAACGTACAGGAGATTCCTTCGATCGGAGGCTATGAATTGCCTCTGGAGCAGATCCAATCGAAATGGATCAGCAGTGAGGACGCAGAGCATAATATTTATTATTACAACTCTGCAACGAAGGTTTCTGCGTGGAATAATCCCGAAGAGTATCAGAATCGGCGCAAGTATCGTGCCTACTTGTGCGTGATCGAAAGGCCGCTTCTTTTGAGTATGGGTGAGTGGAGATTTCACAAGTTTGAGTAATTGGCTGTTTGTTCGAAATGATTTCTTGTGTTATCATTATTGAGATTTCCGCGGGGATTGGATGCCCAATAATCATTTACGCTTCAACACCAACGAAGCATTACTCCGTTTTGTGGTGATAGAAACATTCTTAAGGAGTCCCCTCGACAAATATAGACATCGAGATACTTTTTGAGTCAGTACCGATTTTAATTATTTACTTGTTGCGTTTATTTTATCAATAAATTCATCAAGGTAACTTTCGCGTCTGCACTGCAAAAGAAAATTCTGTCTATGAAAGAGGGAAAAGAAATAACATTTACTGCAACGAATGATTTGACTTCGATTCACATAGAACCGGAGCAGGTGCCCCAGCCGCGGTCAATGAAGAGGGGGAAAGCGGATTCATCTATGTTTTGTGAAAGTGACAACGAGTCAGGTAAGCGCTGTCTAATACCCTGTAAAGATAAGACGAGGACCCGGAGTATCTAGCTGCTGTTAAGATTCTGAAAGAAGAAAAGGAAAGAGGACTTTGTGTGATTAAAAAGAAGCACGAATCAATGATTGATTGCGCAAATCTGCTCGCAATAAGCGAGAGAGAGCGAATTCAGGAGTTATTTGAGGTAACGGAGATTGTGTTCGATCATTATTAGGAAAAGTTGGCTCTTATTCAAAAACGATTCACGGAAAGTAACCAAGTGAAAACACGGCGAATGGCTGCAGATGGTACGCTCGTTGATGTTTCTTCTTCTGTCATAGAAGCAAAGCAACACAGCCATCATATTTCTACCCCTGAGTCCACTGCATCTACGAATTCGCATCGCAGTAGTAGTGAAGTGATAATGATTTGAAGTGCAGAAGATATTTGCTATCTAACTGTTTTGCTGACAGAGGAGGAAATGGTCGACGATCTCCAGATGATGGCAGCAGCGACCCAGGCTTTGTACCATGTTACTGGAATTCCAAAAGTTATCAGTGCGGCTCCGCTCTCTGGAAATCGGCTTTTATTAAACGATAAAGTGATCGAGCCCAACACGCCGTGTACGCTGCGCAATGGAAACAATTTAATTCGCAACTGCGTTTTCTTATCGACGGTTGTGAAGGAAAAGGAGAATAAGGAGAAAAGAAAGGATCCGGAAGTAGGAAAAAAAGCGAATTTGAACGGTAGATTGTGATCAAGGTGAGTGCTACGAGGAAGAGACGATTTCCCATTGACTCTCTCTGCAATGGTGATATTGAGCTAATTTTTGATGAAGAAACCGCGTAGGGATCTTTTTCATCGGGAAGCAGAACATTTTGAAATATGTGCTGAATGATGTGTATAATAGTTCCAGTTCTTTGTTACTAATCCTTCTATTATGGTTCGCTCAAGCGAAAAGCGAAAGAAACGGATGAAACTACAATACGTTCTCCCTGTATACATTTCGCATGACATTCGCACTCTTCGTAGATTCCACTTCACAATGAGGACACACGACAAAGAATAAACTCATTTTGCTTTCTTCTGGGGAGTTTCGCTTTTGTATTTCTTACTCTTCTAGTTTCTCACAGTTAGCCACTCTTTTCTGTAACGAATTTGCTCATCGTATTTATTGCGTAGAACTATGCAGCACGATGATCTCATCTGGCAAATCATCAACAATGAGTTTTGCTCGTTCAAATCAAAGTTAAGGCAGGAGAAACAAGCATTCTGCAGAAATCCATACAATGTGGCTGGAATTTGCTCGAGAAAGCACTGCCCGTTAGCAAACTCGCGATATGCGACAATTCGTGAGGAAAAGGGAAAATGCTATCTGTACTTGGCTCTTCTAGAAGTGATTCTTATATATATAGATATATGAAAACGATCGAGCGAGCTCACACGCCCAAGAATCTCTGGGAAAAAGTCGAGTTGTCGGAGAATAAAAATGAAGCTATATCACAAATTGAGAAAAACTTGCAGTACTGGCCCAAGTTCCTCATCTCCAAGAACAAGAAGCGTTTGCTGCGAATCCGCCAGTATTTGAAGAAGATGCGAAAGCTGCGTCAGCGCGTGCAGTTTGCGATTCGCTCTGTGTTTTCTCTCTAGACCTGAACTGGAGCGAATCAACCGAAAGACCGAAAAGCGCGAAGCGGTTCGCGAGAAGAAGGCAGAAAGTGTGGCGAAGCTGGAGAAATCGATCGAGTCGGAGCTGCTGGATCGTCTGAAGAAGGGAACATACGGCGATATCTACAACTTTGCTCCGGAAGAGTTCAATAACATGCTGGATGAGCATCAGGGTGAGAATGGAAAGGGAGTTTGATCGTAGAAAGCGAGCCAGAAATCGAAGACGAGTTCATTGAGGATTACGACGATGAGGAAGAAGAGGAGGATATGGAAGAGATGGGAGATCGCATGGAGTCGAAGTTTGATGGGAAATTGTGGGGGTTGAGAGGAGGATTGATGGATAGACCGAAGTCTGGAAGCCATGTGGAGATGGAGTATGAAGAGGAGGAGAATGATCCCGAGTTGGAGGAAAATTAGTGTGCTTTTATTCGTTTTTGGGTGTTTGTTGGATGCAGAGAGTGAAATGAAGTGGATTGGCAGAGAACGAGGAGAGATGAATTGAATCGGAGAATATGAACAAATAATTAAGGAAGATATTGCATTCAAATCGATTCGATGTTTTTCTGCCTGTTTCTTATTTCTTTCTTCCTTTTCAAATCACTCAAACCACCAATCACACATTCCTCTTCCACTTGCATGTCAAACAAACAATCGAAAAGACTATCATACATTATTCAATCGCTTTCCCAAACACAAAATGAACACAATGCACCAGCTGCGTGAAATAACTCTCCTCTCCTTCCTCGATCACTTCTACCCATCACTTCTCCATTCCACTCTCACCTTTCCTCGCCTTCTCCACCAATTCCGCATACCGACTTCGCACAATCTTCATAAACCCATCGCTCTTCATCAATTGATCCACGCAACTCGTTTCCTGCTGCTCCTTCCCCACTCTACTCCTCATCCTTTCTCCATTTCCCTACTGCAGCAGCTTGAAATACGATTCCACCAGCGCGTATTGCGACTCCCATTCCACGCTCGTGAGATCCTGCATCGCCTGCGAGCACACATTGGTGGTCGACAACGCGGGCTGCGTAGGGAACTGCGAGAGAAGATTGCGATACAGCAGCAACGCCTTCTTCTTTCTCTCCACGTCGTCGCTCAGAATGCTTTGCTCCACCAAGCGGATTCCGTTCCGCTCGATGAATCGCTCCGCCATGGGTTTGAAATGGCTCACGATCGCGTTGATGCCAAAGAAACTCTTTCGCTGCAGCGATTCGTCGCTGCTCGCACTGAGATCCATCAAGACATTTAGCGCTTTTTCACACAGAGAGAGGTCCGAAATCGACAGAGCGTTCTTGTAGAGCGTGGACACCGATACAATGGAACCTGCAAGCAAGGAGGAAGGAGCATTCGAGGCGGAAAGAGTCACGAGCGAATCCACCAAGAGCGATTCACCGCCCATTTTGAGCAAATCCTCCACGTTGTCGACGTCCTACACAGAAAGGAAGAAGAAAACGGCGCACCAGAATCAGCCATTCGATGTCTGCGAGCGTTTGCTGGTATTCTGAAACGAAGGAAGCGTTTCCTAGCTGCGTAGCCAGTTGGGGAGAGAGAGACCGCAGCGTTTGGAGACGTTCTGCGAGAATCTCAGCATGTGGAATGAAGGAAAACTCCCAACACTCTCAGTATTCGCAATACAATCATCGAAAGGATATCTCCTCGCACATCCTTCAAAGCGTCCGCGATGGCTTTCTGACGCTGCTCCCACACTCTGTCGATGATCGTCTTCTTCTCTGCCTCGGAGAGAGTGGAATAGGATTTCAACTCCTCAAGGGGTTCTGGGAGAGACTACAACTAAGCGGAGAAACGAAGAAATACCAAGAGCACTCTCTCTTTCATTTGGTCGGGAGACTCGTTGGACTTCGATTCATCCCTTTTCTTGAACAACACAACGAACAAACCTACTTGTTGAGGAGACTGTCAGCAATGATCTTGGCTAGCTTATCTGCTTCATCCACTGGCTTTATTTCCGGAGTCGAAGAAACAACCAGTCCTTGATTTGTCGTTGTTTCAACTCCATCATCCAGCTTTGCGTATTTTTTGTGTGTGTTAAAGTCCATTCGGATCTTCAGTCCCTATTCCATAAAGCCCCCCAAAACAGCTGAAAACCTTGGGAACAGCTTGTCCAGGCAGCACTTCTTGCCATTCGTTTGTAGGAACAAAGGGAGGCACTTTTGTATTTTTAAATTGGTAAAAGGCAGCGAGCGAAGCAATGGCAGCCGCTGCGAATGAAATCACATAAATTGCCTTTCGATAAGAATAAGTCATTTCAAAAAATCAATAAAAGTGTTCAGACAGACAAGGTTCTAGAACTTTCTGCCTTTTTGCATGATTCTATGTAAGCAGCAAAATGGAATTCATCTCTCTATTCTTCCTTCCTTCTTTTTCATATACTTCAATCAAAAAGTCTTCCGAATTTCTGTATTGCACAAATTCCTCCCATTTTTACCAATTCTTGCGTTGTCCTTTTCTCTAAAACTATCCATTCATTCTCGTTTTGTATGAGTGACAAAGAGAATACTTGTAGGGCTCTTCTATGGGGATCATCCATAGTGGAAACCAAGCAGGAAACAACTCCCTTCCTTCAAATCTTCTGGGATTTGGCCGAAGTGGACATAAAAAAGAGAGAAATCGCTACGAGAGATTTGCTGAGTTATTTACGCGAACATCAAGTTCCTGCAGAGCAGGAGCAGTTCCCTGGATGTTCTCGCGACATGATTTACACAATAAAGAGACTTTGTAATGGTATTTGCTCCCGAAATGATGGAGCTCGGCAAGGTTTTTCGTTGGCGTTAACATATCCATTGGAAATCATACTCTGCACGCTTCCCTAACGTTTTAGGTGTGTTTTGCAGTTTTTCCCGAATGTTCCTCTCAGTAGCGTATATACGACGATAATGGAGTCCAGCACTATAGAGGGAAGCATGAAGCGAGCTGAGAAGCGCGATCAAGTGTTCGGTCGTTTGTTTGGTATTTTGTCGCTTTTCCGTTCCACTCGTTTTATGAAAGAGCCTCCATCCGAGGAAATTCGTTCGATCGTTGAAAAGTGTGTGGAGGAAGTCGTTGGCTATTACAAGCAAAAGCAATGGCTGCGTGAAATCAGCGTTGAAACGCTGATTACCATTCTGAAGTTCAGCCACGACGACTTGATTCCTCTCATTCTCAGCAACTCGCTTTCTCTGTATATCGAATCTCGACCAAACGAAGAGAACGAGGAGCTGCTGATTCCCCTTCCTTTCACTCCTTCTTCTCTCCAACTTATTCTCCAAGTCCAGCTTCTTCTCCACGACAAGCACATTGAATTCGACGACGAGAACGTGAGACGCACATTTGTGGAGAACGCCGAAGTGAATCCGCACCACTTAAAGCAATTGGTGAGCGTGTATCGCGACTCTTCGTTCACCTTCCCGAAGCTCCACGCGCTCTGGACCGTCACGGTCGACTACTTGAAGCAATTCGCAGAGGACTGGGAAGAGTCACTTCTGAAATGGTGGGACGCCATTACGACGCAGGTGTTATCGATGTCTGCAGAGCGCGGAGGGTACTTTGCAGCCGGTTCGTTGGCTAATCGATCGTAGAATGGTGCTGAAAGCCTTCGAGCTGCTGTTTCCTCTGGTGTCCACCGATCAGATCCACCGACTGCTCAACAACCGACTGCTTCGCCTCGTCTGCTCCAACGTGCGAAACAGCAAAAGTCTGCTTCGTTCCCAGACGCTCCACTTGCTGAACTTCCTGGTTTCGGTCCTTTTCCTGCCTTGAAGTCACGCGTAGAGCACCGAGCAGGACTCAAATCGCCGCGTTGTGCTGCTCAACATTCTGCTGAACAACGTGGGACTGGACTTCGATAAGCGGACGGGAACGACGACGTGTCGCCAGCTGCTGGCTTCGCTGCACGTCGAGGATCTCGGCGACTTCCTCAGCCGCTGCTACCGCCTTTTCTTGCAGCCCCAAGCGAACGGTAGGCGCTGGAAGCGGTCTTGAAGGTAGATAAAAACCCGATCAGTGTGGAGAGAGAGGAGGAATCGACCGAGGAATCGACCGAGGAATCGGACAGAGAGCGCGACGTGGCGACTTCGCGACGTCGCTGGGCGCTGGACAACTTGTACAGCGTGGTGTCGACGAACGCGTCGATGGATCCGATGGTGCTGGAGCGATTCTTGCTGACTCTTTGCTGCACGGAGATCGATGAGGAGCAATCGACTGAGCAATCGACTGAGCAATCGAAGGCTGACGTCAGTCGCTGTGATTTCCTCCACGCGGACTTCCTGAGCGATCTGAAGTCGTTCTGCCGGCCCGCGCTGAGCGACGCGGTCCGTTCGCACGCGCAGTCGCTCTTGTTCTCCGTGCTGCGCAGCCTGGCGCAGAAGACGGAGGACGGATCGCAGGCGGGTGTTTCAAAGGAGAAGGAGCTGTATGTGTACTTGGTGCTGCAGGAGTATCAGCGACTGGAGGCGCGAATTCGATCGACGGAGGGCGTTTCGCTGGTTCATGAGTGGGAGGAAGGGGAAACGGAGGTCCGTTCGAAGCTGCTGGCGAGTGTGGAGACGCTGGTGGAGAAGATAAAGAAGGAGGACTCGAAGCAGGAAGTGATGTTTACGAATTTGCTGATCAACATTGCGATCGAGCAGATCTTTAAACCGGAGTATTCGCAGTTCATTCCGGATGTTTTGGAGTGTTATGAGCAGTTTTCGGCGACGAAACGCCGCGATGACGAGCGGCCGATCGCGGTGTTGCTGGAAGTGGTGCTGATTCTGCTTCGAACGAGCAGCAAAGTGCTGCGAGACAACGCGGTGAAGCTGTTTGGAGGGCTGTGCGAGGATTTGACGGAGGAGGATGTGAACGATATGCTGCAAGTGTTCTGGACGAACGAAAGTTTGGAGGAAGAAGACGAAGAGGAAGAAGATGGAGAAGAAGAAAGCGAAGAGATGGAAATTGAAATGAGTGAAGACGAAAGTGAAGCCAAAGAAGAAGAAGAAGAAGAAAAAGAAGAGGAGGAGGAGGAAGAAGAAGAAAGCGAAGATATAGAATCCAGTGAAGAAAATGAATCTTCGAAAGAGAAAGAAGCGGGTCCCGAGGAAGATTCCGACGTGGATTGGGATCAAGAAGTCGTTGCTTTCCCTTCTCTTTACCTCTAGTTGACTCCCGCTTTCGAAAAGCGAATGAAACTCGACGACCGCGCGATCGCCAAAGTGCTTCGCACTCGCCAGGATCAAGCCAAACTTCGCAAAGCGACGGCTCTCGAGCTGGCGACTTTCAAATCGCGGATCATCGACCTCGTCGAGAGCTTCGTTGTGAAACATCCGAACCATGCGTTGATCAGCAACTTCACCGTGTCGCTCGCTGATATCTGCCAGAATGCGCTGGTCGCTTCGATTCGATTCGTTGAGTCGTAGAAAGAGAGCGAAGAGAACGCGTTGTCCAATCGCATTTTCGGTCTTCTTCGCAACAAAATCGTGAAGAACTGCTCGCTCCCCGCTTCCTGCTTCCTCGACACCGCCGACAAAACCGAGCAGGCGATGCGCAAACTCGTCGATTTATCGCTGGCAGGCTCCACAGCCGATCCAGCTCTCCATAAACGTGTGCTGCAATGCAACGCGGAGTGCTTATCGCTCTATTTCCGCTCGCTTCAGCACGTCGTTCTCGCAGATCCCGCTCGTCTCTCGGAAGCCAGAGCGATCGTCGAGCGCGTTTTGCAGCCAGTCCTCGCAGACTTCGAGAAGAAACACTCCCATATAAACAGCAGCTTCTTCGAACTTCTGTTCACGCGCACGCCGCTTCTGTGCATGACGCTGATTCCGCAGCTTGGCAAGGTCATTCTGAGCGAAGAGGAGAGCAAGATAAAGAACTATAAGCGACTGGAGTTCGTGGGACTGCTTCGCTACCTGCTCCGCAGTGTGAATAGTGTTCCTACAAAAGACGGAGTGGAGCGTGTGAAGGAGTTTATGGAGGTGTTGGAGCAAGTGTTTGAATGGGCGAAAGAAAGAGTGGATAATCGACAGAAGGAGGGCTATGAGGACTTCCGGAAGCTCCTCGTCGCAGACTGCTGAACGAATATTGCAGACTGGTCGATGTGATAAAGGCCGGTGGGAAGAAAAAGAAGAAGAATGAGGAGAGCAAACAGAAAGTGAAGGGACCTGAACAGGAGGAAAAGGAGGAATCAGGGAAAAAGGTTGCAGAGAAGAAGGAAGTTTCTAAGAAGAAAGAAACGGTAATGAAAAAGAATGTGCCAGGGAAGAATGGAAAAGGAAAGATACAGTCTATACAGAAGGTAAATAGAAAAGGAACACGGTGGATTGTTTGTTAAATGCGTTCTATTTCTTTGGGTTGAAAGGTAAGATATGTGTTAGGCAGAAAGTTAGAAAAGATGGATATTGAATGAAACTATCCAGTACAACCCAGTTCATCAACTTGATAGTCGTCATTCAATCGTTTAGAATCAAGGCATTGAATTATCAAACATTAATAGATCTAATTTGAACACTTAACCAAATATGGTTGAATCGGAAAAAGCTGTACTACTATTCATAAACTTCAGATAAACATTCTAATCACCGATTATACAGAGGACTGGAACGAGCTAGCTAAACCAATCTTGATTGTGAAAATAGAAAAGAGTCAATCGACAGCTGGATTATTAATCAATAACCAGAGAATGGTGATAGGGAATTTAGAACAAACGAAATAGCAAGAATTGAGCACACAATGATCATTGAATGGAATGAAGCGTGTAAATCAAATAATCGATTTACCAATAATCAGAATCAGAATCATTATCATCATTGATATTGACACAATCAGCGAGAATGGAAGAAACATCTATGAATGAAACCAAAGCAATCCATAATACTAGAGATTGATTTTGAACAAACTTCCATAAATGAATCAGGCAGATCGACATTTTGAAGATTCGGAATATCTAAATACTATCCATATTCAATATTCAGAAGTACTTTCCAATGTTACTGAATGAGGATAAAAATAACTACCTCCTACAGAAATTATAGATGCTAGAATTGGAAGATCTACAAAGCAAATCAATTAGAATCATTTCATTCATACTTCGCATTATCAATGAACAGGAATCACTCACACATCCCCATAGTGCAGCTTCACCCAGTTCAATAAATTGCAGTGATGGAAGATCTACAACAATCATTTCATTCATATTCAATCTTTGCTTTCTATTATCGTTGATGAAGAATCATGAAATGACCAATTACCTAATGTAATGGATCGAAGACTTGGCAGATCTAATCATTCAAATAATCGATATCATAACAATACCTCGAATCACAAATGAACTATAGAGGAAATTACACGACTTGCTTTGTATTTTACCAATCTGAATGGATTGTAATTCTGGCAGATTCTTCAATTCAAAGTCTCCAGCAAAATCACTGAAACTATATTCACCAATTTGAATGGATTCCAATGATTCACAATTCAATATGTGGAATGATTTCGATTTGTCATTTCCGTTACAATTCCTTTTCTGAGTAAACGAATTGTTTCCGATTTTGATAGTTTTCAATCGATTCAATCCATCGATTTGGAATGTTTGCACTGATTCAAAACAATGATTGCCGATTTCGATTGATTCCAAATTATACAACAATGAAACATCCCAATCAACCAATACGCATTTGTCAAACAGTTTCAAATGTTTCATTCCGATATTCAGTGGTTCTGAACCATTTCCTTCATACTCAGTATCACATTCAATTCCATTATACCATTCACATTCGTTCAATAATTTACCATATCGATCATACACTTTTCCAATTCCAAATCGATTATTATCACACCAATATCCTTCATATTCAACCAAACCATTATTATGATAACTCGTTCCATATCCAAATCGTTTCCAATTGATCATTATGCCCTTATACACCAATATTCCATCATCATCATACATTTCACCATATCCAAATGGAATTCCAATTTTACCTTCTTTTTCTTTTTCTGTCAATACCAATCCTTCAAATCGACTTCCATGATCCAAATCCACGATTCCTTCTTCTACTACTTCTATGGATTGTTCTTCATTATATGAAATAGCACCAATTTGATGATTTCCAAACACTTTCAACACTTTCTGCTCATTGACCACAAATCCTTGATTCATGAATACCCCATTATAAAATTTCAATACTACACATTCTCTATTACTCAATATGAGTGAAATCCAGCCATTTAGTTTCATTTCCTCATTCAAGCATCCCTGTACAACTTGGATGGTGGAACTATCAATATGATAGTTACTAATAGCAGAATTGACAAAATCAGCAATCTTTTGCATGGAAAGAAAGTCTAATGGAGAACAACATATACAATTTCTCATATTATTCAATAATAATATAGAAGTCACTTTTAAATCTATACGATATTTCATAAATGGTAACGGCGTAGTACAAAATACTAATGATAATAAAGCCTATTTCTTCTCGTGTTATCATTTCGAAAATTATATGGTATTTTTCGATAATGTTCCATTTGCTGCTGTTTTTCGTTTTTATTATTAGAAGTGATTAGCTACTGACGCGATTTGCACGACTGCAATTGATAATATTCGACCAAAGTTGTCCCTCAGACCCCATCTTCTATCGCTCACCGTTGTTGTCCCTGGACAACTTGTATATTTTAGCCTATATAAGAAATAAGGTGCGAAATGTTGACCTTAGCTTATTTTCCTTGACCCTGTTTTCTGGTAAAGAGGGGCAAGCCATGCACTACTCCATGTATATCCAAGGCTTACCTGGGAATACTTCATTCTCCTGGATCAACCCGTACAAGTATCAGAATCCCTACATCACTTTCATGACTGTCCTGTTCAGACCCAATCAAGTCATGTTCAACAATGTGGATTCTACGAATGTGGTCATGAACTCGAATGACGAAGAGCTAGCGATTCTTCCTGGATACTACACGATCGGTCAAATCATTACCATCCTCAACACCATGACCGATACTACATTTTCGATATCTACGAAGGCTTCGAGTTATGGGTGTATTTATATCCAGTACCCACACACCATCGATTTCACCAATGCTCCGGATATTCGAGAAATCCTCGGTTTGGAAGGGCGTACCATCATTCTATCCGCTTCGTTCAGTGGATCGAACGTGATTGATATCACGCGAAATCGCCAAGTGATCCAAGTGTACTCGTCTCTCGTGCGTTCCTCCGATCTGAAGATTGCCAACCAGAACAACAACCTGCTCACCACAATGATCATTGACGATCCCGAGGTTAATTATCTCCGCACCGTGGAAGACATCTGCATTCCCATGATAACCCGATTCGACCGATTGATGTTCGTGTTCCGCGATATGGATGGTAATATCATGCGATTGAACGGCGAATTCGAACTCCAGTTGACGATCGAAGATGTGTTTGATCAAGTGCCTTCCTCAACTCTACCGATGAACCAGTTCAGTATGATGGAAGTGTTCGGTAATACTACGAAGAAGGAAGTGAAGCTGGACAATCCTCTCTCATTCGATCAGTGTTCCATTTCGTCTGTGTCACTCTATACCGATTTCGTGTTGCACAACGTACCAACCGATCAAGTGATATCAATCGATGCGGGGACATCTCCACACGAGGTGTTAATAACCAGAGGAGCCTACAACATCACGAACGAAATGAGTGTGATCCGAGTATACAGTAGTATCAATGCGCAAACATTCGGTCTGAAGAGTCCGCTGATCGATAACCTGATTCATGTATCGATGGGACTGAACAACATGATCACCTGGGACAACCTATCGATCGATGTGATTGAACAATCGAACCTGGATTCCATTGATTGGGTACTGACAGATGCAAATGACCGTCCGATCTCCAAGAATTCGAATGTGTACATCTCATTCACGATATCTTGTAAGCACAACTTCAGTAAGGTATTCAAGAAGATAGATAGATAGATATCAATGTCTATCTTCTATCTATATACATATATATATATATCTGAAAAGTAATAGTTTGATTGTTGCCTTCAACAAATAATCAGCCAGATATGTCTCACAGCTTGATATTGGACAACTACTCATTCCCATAGAGTCCATTCTTATGGATTTCAGCTTTATCATCAACAATACTGATATCGCTATTAGTGAGTAATTCTATTCA